CTTCCGTCAACACGCATCCAATGGTCAACTTTCCCACTCTGAATCGGTAGCAGTCTGGAATAGCCAGCTTCCACAGTGCAATCACCACGCGCTTCTCCAATGACAGGGCCACCCTCATTCTCATGTCCTTGCGCTGCAGGGCTGGGGTGAGCTCATTACACAGTCCCATGAATGTGATTTTCTTCATCTGAAAGTTCCACAGCCACTGCTCGTCATCCCAGACGTGCATGACAATGTGATCCCACCACTCAGTGCTTGTTTCCAAAGCCCAAAAGCGGTGTTCCACTGTGGTCAGCACCTCCGTGAATGCCACAAGCAATCTCATGTCGTAGCTACTATGCATGGCGAGATCAATGTCAAACTCCTCTTGCCTTTGTAGTTTAAGGAGTAACTCCACTGCCACTCATGATGTGTTAGTGAGAGTGGTCAACAGTGCAGGATCCATTCCTGCAGACCAAAGAGGCAGAGTGCACAGTACACAAACCGTTGAAAGATGGCGCCAAATGCGGATGGAAGCACAGGGATTGCTGGGATGCAAAGCAATGCATCACGAGGCATTGGGACAGGACCCAGGATGTGCCCTGACCCTCTCCGCCTTCCCACAACTCTTAGTGGCAGAAGAGGAAGAGATGCTCTGTGGGATAGCTGCCCAGAGTGCACCATTCCAAATACTGCTGCTGCAAGTGTGAACACGCTATTGCACAGGCAGCTGACAGTGTGAACACACAACAGTAGTTTCCCTTCAGCGCTCTCTGAGCGGCACTGTAACTCCCGGCGATGTAACTCTGCCAGCGTAGACAGTCAGTCTTCACTTCGGTCTCTAGACTCACTAGTGAGGCAATGCAGTTGCAGGTTTGTCAGTTGCAGAATGATTTCCTCCACCTGCTGCTGTCCTGAGACACTGCAGGGACTCCACAATAGTTCTATAGACCCGCGTGCAAGAGAATCTTCTTCCAGAAGAAGAAACTATCTTACAAAGAAAGTCTTCCCTTCCACCTCCCAAAAACCATAATTAGTGACCATAACTTAATGTTTTGAGGGGTGATGGTGATTTTATTTAACAATGTTACTTACGGGATATAAGTTGTCTGCAGTAAAATTTATTCACTGCATCCAACACTCTTTCTCACTCTGAAAAAGTTACAGGGAGCTTGTGCATGCATTGGTCTTTGCAAACTGCAGACTATGGGCAGGTGCCCAGAAAGCAACTTCCCAAATGGACACAGCAATACGCTGCAGAGGCAGCATGAACACATGGCTTGTATCTTGATCCGGGCCAGCTCTTGCAAATTCCGGTGATGTTACAAGAGCATGGAGTGCTACAGGCCAGAGCAGTTGTGTGGCCAGGAAAGCTGCACAGGTCAGAAGCATGTGGACCATTCATTCCCCATAGAAAGCTGCGTGTGCTACAAATATGTGGATCCATCCCTCAGAAGCCTTTAGCTACATTTTTATGCTCACCATGAGGTCAATTGCAGCGGGCCCCTGGAGCTATCCCTGCACAACTTTTTGGAGAAGGCAGAGTCCCCAGTAGCCTTGTCTGCACTGCAGTCCTGCTGGCTGTGGTTTGTCTGGTATCGATGTACCACGAGACAACACCGAATTTTGGCTTGAGTGATTATTCTTATGAATTTCAAGGATTGTGTCTAATTAGAGAGAGCTACTCCAGAATACACATTAAAAAATTAATCCACACAGCAACAATCAAAGTGCCACATCTCCTGGATCAGCATGGGTTTTGTCATAGCTTTGTGTTATTTACAATGTAAGATGTGACTCTGTATGAAAGTTTCAAATATAAACATTTTTAAAGGTACAGTGGACTGTACGGTAATAGGCTTCCCCCATTCTACATTTTCCCTTATGTTTGACACCCACTTTTCAGTGACATCTCTCCTATATCTCAGAGGGTCCCTTCTGCCAGAGGCATATATAGCCCTCTAAAAGAGGCCACTAGCCTTTCAAACTTTAAGGTTTTAGTTGTTTCTTGCCTTCCTTACAGTATCTTAGCAAGCTAGTGATTGAGAACTCAGATCTTGTTTTCCATTTTATTTTTTTAGCAGGGTCCCCCTTTCTGTGCTCTGGACATGTATAGAACCTGGTGATTTTCTACACTTGCAGTTCTCTCTCTTATAGTAGGAAATTGAGTTTTAGTTCTTGGCTCTAGATATTGTAAATGCTCCTACACTGGCCCAAGATGGTACAAGTAGCTGGAAGCAACAGCATCTCCCAGAACAGAAATAGAAGCCAGTGTTGATCAGCAGCCACCAAGACAGTACTTCTAGCAGCAGCAGGTTTTGGAAGAGACTCTTCCCTTTCAGAATTACAATCAAGAGACTGATTTACCTTTCATGTCTGAAGTATATTAACAATAGGTACCAGAATATGGACACATGAAAATTCTGCTCCTGGACTGTTGAATATTGCTGACCAAGAGAAGTTTCCACATAACCAGACATGTCGTCCATCATAAAGCACGTCCAGGACATAAAACTTGAGTACGTTGAAAGATCAGTGAAGAGAAAGATTGGAGGTTTGCATGGGATCTAGTATCCATGCATTTCCCTTTTATTTTTACATTATCACAGGGGGCCATTTGTGGAGCTGAAATAACTGCAAGCTGTGGCCTTTCACAGAGTGGAAATGCAAATAGTAAACACATCTCCTAAAAAGATACTCCGTGTACATGACGTACAAAGGGTCATTTAAGAGCACTAAATCCTCTAGTGCTTTGGCTTACATAGCTTCTCCTCCTCCAATTCCCTTTGTCATAGCCGTAGGTCCTGCACTAACACATCAGACCTTAAAATTGTTGAGGTTTGTGCACACAGTACATTTCTATTTGACATTTACTAATTTCCCCCATGTTGAAAAGATTATTAATATGCAATGGTGCCAGCATACCAAAACAAACTCTTTTATGGAGGGCTCTAAATATCAGTTTAAATCCATTGCCTGTAGTCTAAAAACTCTTGCTCCTTTGGTTGAGTGCTCAGCTAAAAAAAACCTACATTCTTTGATGACATACTAATTTTGGAGAGGTTTTTATATGAAACGATCTGGCAGATACTAAAATGCTACAGCAAACCATGATGTTGCAGCTCAGGTTTCTCCTATGTGAAACCCCAGACCCACCAAGTGAAATGTCAGCTGCATTCCTTGAAATCTGAAGTGATTCTCTGGCTCCAGAGAACAATCACTGCCCTGTTATTTCTAGGGAGCTACGGCTTAAATTGCCTGTGCCCATGTCTGGATGCTAGAGTGACAAATGTACATGTATAGTGCCAGAGTCGCGGCCCCACTCCTCTCGGGCAGCACAACGCAAGCAGAAACCGCCCACGGCTCCCCAGATGAGGGTTCCTCTGAGATCGGGGAGTCCCATCAGGAATACTTCGATCATAGCCTGACCATGCCACACTCCAGCTATTCACAAGCCGGACGACAACCTCTTTGGGAATTTTGTCAACAGGCATTAGTTAGAGCAGCCCCTAAGCTGTTTTCACTAGGTTGGGGTTGGCACAGAAGCCAAGCCATAGAAGAAAACCTGGCCAATAGTTCTGCTGAGTTGAGGCAGCAGGGCCCAGAACTGGATCATGGCTGCCAAGTTCTGGGCAGCGCTGTATGTGATGTTGTATGCAAATTTAATGGGTTAATTTGAATATTTGAAAATAATTTGTAGGCAACCAAACATCAGCTTTAACAAAATTATGCCCATTTAGTTCAGATGAAATGTGTCACTTTGACAGCCTTGGCCAATGCTAGGAAAAAAGGCAAGCAGGGAAGCCACTGGAAACAGAGACTTCCAAGGTACAACTATGTTTGGTCATATTTGCTGGTAACCGAGTTCCACCATGCCCTCATTGCACAGGGTAGACAACATGATTTTGCAGCAGCATTAGAGCAGTGTTATTGCCTCATGTAGAGGCGATCAGGTGAAGGTAAGCTATACCACAGGTTGCTAACATAGTTCTTTATACTTCCTTGCTAATGTGGATTCATATGCTAAGATTGTAAGCTCTTCGGGGCAGGACCTGTCTCTTTGTTCTGTGTTTGTACAGAACCTAACACAATGGGGTGCTGGTCCATGCCTCGGGCTCTTCGGCACTACCACAATGCAAATAATATTGGTTCTCTCGAAAGGAGAAACCAGGGCTGGGTGATTTCTTTGTTCAAAACATGTTTTCACCCAAAAAAATGCAGATTTGGATTGACTGAAACATTTCACAAGTTGTTGTGATTGAAAAAAGCTAAACAATTCCAAAAAAGTCAAAACATTTGAAACAAAATGTTTCAATTCAAAATGTCTTTGTTTTGAAATTTCTTTCAACTTTATTGTTAAAAACTCTTTAAAATCCTCAAAATTGAAATAAAAAAAGTTTTGTTTTAGGTAAAATGAAACATTTCATTTGACTTGAAATAGACACCCCCCAACCCCTAACTTTTCCTCTAAGTTTCCTTTTGGGTCAACTTGAAGATGCTATTTTTTTTAATTGCCAATGAACCGAAGAATTAGATATTTAGCCCGCTCTAGAGAAACCTTACATACAACATAACCTGTGCTAAGTCAGTTCCTAACCATGGCCACCCGTCCCACTAGCTGGCAAACACTACAGTGTGATTAGCAAAGCCGACACACCTCCCTCAGTAGAAGTACTGTAGCAGTCTGAAATCACGCTATCAATGCTGCTATTGCATTTTGACTATAGATCTGCGAAGACTAACAGGGACAGAGACAGCTTTTTTTTAAAAAAAAAAATCTGGGGTTCTAAAGTTAAAAAAAATAAAATAGCTGTTTAATATTGCCGTAATGAGTAGTTTTGTACCATGACTAAATTTGCCCACTTTCAATAAAGTCATAAACAAGCTTCCAAACTCAGTGTTCCTTTTATTTATTAATGCAATTTAGCCCCCTAAAGCCCCCAGTTGTCTACACCCATGATTGAGCAACTTGTGAAGTATTTTTTTAATGAAATGTTTTTTTTCCCCCTCATTTGTTCCAGAAGATTCACTTTTCTCCATAAGCAGTAAAGTCACTGGGAAATCGTGTGAATACAATGGCACCACCTACCACCACGGGGAAATGTTTGTGGCAGAAGGGCTTTTTCAGAATAGACAACCCAACCAGTGTGCTCAGTGCAGCTGCTCAGTAAGTAAGAATTTCATTGAACCCTGCTGTATGCTTTGCTAGATTCTCTTTGCTAGGAGACCAGCCTATTGAACTTTAACTAATGTACAGTAGTACCTGGGCAGTGGAGGCTGAAAGTCAGTAGTGAACAGTGACATATAAAAGCATACTCAGAGCCAATATGCAGCACCAGGTAAATGCCATTCTGCCTCCTACTCCAAACACAGTAGACGAAATTTATCCCATTGTGAACACTCTGTACCTGACCCCACACTCCACACACTTAAAGTAGTTAGGTGGCTGGTAGAATATTGCTACTTGGAGTATATATAGTTTTATGTCAACCGGACTATGGAAAGTTCAACACTGGCTCTCTAAAAGAGGCCAGAATTATTCTAAATTCAATAAAGATTCCTACAAGTGGGAACTGGATGGCTCATGGGATTGACAATGGGCCAGAGAACTTTAACCCACTAGATCATCAATTCGAATTGCAGTGACTAGTAGTTGTCACCTTCCAGTGGCTGTTCAGAGCCACTCTGTGAATTGAAATAGGTTCAGTCTATCCACCTCTTCCTGGACAAACATTGGCTACATTTGGACCTTCATTTGATCAAGTCAACAGCAAATTTTGCATTAAGGAACCATCTCGGTAGCCGTCTGGCCCAACAGGTCAAGTACTGAATGGACTTGGAGATTACACTACTGGGTCACTGCTCAATGCAGTCCCTCCAGGTCAAGGCTGAAACTCAGTGGTGGGGCAGTGAGTTGGGAGCTTGCACTATGACAATGGCCATGTTGTACCTATATAGGGGAGGGATAGCTCAGTGGTTTGAGCATTGGCCTGCTAAACCCAGGGTTGTGAGTTCAATCCTTGAGGGGACCACTTAGGGATCTGGGGCAAAATCAGTACTTGGTCCTGCTAGTGAAGGCAGGGGACTGGACTCGATGACCTTTCAAGGTCCCTTCCAGTTCTAGGAGATAGGATATCTCCATTATTTCATTTCATACCTCTCTTGTGGATTGAGTCTCCTGGTATGTTATTGTACAGAATATAGTGCTCAGGAAATGTGCCTGTTTTGTGTTTTTAGAAAGACAGTTAAGGAATACTCTTCCGTGCAATATCCTGTTTCTAGATGCTAGAGTGGCACATATGTAAATGTACAGAGCCAGATTCAAATCTGTATAAGGGCTTGTCTTCACTACTGGGATACGTCGACCTAAGTTACACTACTCCAGCTACGTGAATAATGTAGCTGGAGTTGACATAACTTAGGTCAACTTACTGCTGTGTCTACACCACGCTGCATCAACAGGAGGCGCTCTCCCATCGACTTACCTTACTCTTCTCTGAAAGGTGGAGTACTGGAGTTGACAGGAGAGAGCTCAGGTGTCGATTTAGTGGGTCTTCACTAGCCCTGCTAAATCGACACCCGCTGCATCGATTGTGGCAGCATGGATCTCCCTGGTAGTGAGCATAAGCCCAAAATGTAAATGCATAGTACCATATGAATCAATGCAGAAACCATTTCTTAATTGTCTTTGTTTTTAATGGCAGGAAGGGAACGTGTATTGTGGCCTGAAGACTTGCCCTAAATTAACATGCTCTTTCCCAGTTTCTGTTCCGGAGTCCTGCTGCCCAGTTTGCAGAGGTAAAATCTGCTATGTAAGCAAAAGGATATTGTCTGCAAGCATGCACATTCACCCATTGCAGAGGGAGTTTGGAGATTAAACATTGTAGTTCAGCAGATGTATCATTTTTTGTTTTGTTTTCCTAAATTGAAACGAGCAATTAATACAGCAGAAGCAACGTTATGATAATGAGTTGAAACAAGGATGCAAAGTATTAAAATATCTGCCACCTCTCCAGTAGATGAGCTTTGAAATATGTATATATCCTGCAAGTGCCCAGACTTGCTCTCATCATAAAAAGAAACAGTTCTTAGGATACGATCGATTCCCCCAAGTAAATTAAGTGCCAATCTACATTCAGGTATCTCTGGTATTGTATTAGCAAGTCTGTGTTAGATCCCAAAGCAGCCCTCACGTACACACAGAGAACTTAATTCTGAAGAAGGTCAAAATCCTAAATCTGGGCCTCCAAATTTTGCAGGTGAGGCCTTCTTTATAATTGTATCTTACCTATATATTTATATTGGGGCTTCTGTGTCACCCACCACTGGAATATCTAAGCATATGGACCAGATTTTTAAAGGTAAATAGCTGCCTAAAGATGCAAATTATCACTTAGTGGGATTTTCAGAAGTGCCTAAGTGCCTAACTCCTATTGAAATCAATGGGAGTTAGGCACCTAGTGGGATTTTCAAAGTGCCTATCTGTGTTCTTAGGAGTCTACATATCTAAATATCTGACCCTTAGAGCTCAGTACTGTTACTTGGAAAATTAAGGAGCATTTATATTATTTGTAGTTCATTTGTGCCTATAGTACTAGACACTGCACCAACATATAGTGAGGGACAGATACTGCTTACAATCTATACAGCCAAGAAGAGGGGGAGGGGAAACTGAGACACAGACTGGTGAACACAGCAGGTCAGCCAGGGATAACTCAGGCACAGAATCCAGGTTTCCAGAGTTCCAGTCCAGTCCCCTACCCAGGAGGCCATGCTGCTGCTTCTTATATTTTTACCCACTAAACATAGAAACATTTTATTAGGCAACTTGGATTTGAAGCTTTCTGCACTCAGACAGGCAAAGGTGATGGTCCCTGTCTCATGGCAGGCGATCTAGCAGATTACCATTTAACATTCAATGTGTTGAGTGTGCAATAAAATAAACATTAGCTAATCATCTGGTTCCTGGTCTCTGTTCCCTGATAGCTATTTTTAGTTTCTGGGGATGGTAGCACATAATTTTACTTTATATGGTGACTTGGCTTTGGAACTGACCAGTTATAATTACAAAAAAATCAAACTGAGTTTCAAAGCCCAAAGCATCATGCCTTAGTTACACAGTGCACTAGGATTATGTTGGAAAAGTCAGCCACCTGAAACAGGAGAGGACAGTCACTAAAGAGAAAAAAGCTAATCAGAAGTAGGAAATTCAGGGCAAGATGTAGGAGGCATTAGGCAAGACAGGTTATGCAGTAAAGGAGATTCAGAGCCTGCAATGGCCTTTGAAAAGACTCTGCGTTTGTATGGTGGTTTTTAAAATGCTTCATTATTTATAATACTTTCTTAAAAGTAACATTTCCTTTCTAACTACCCTTGTCCTTTTCAATCTGGCACATGCTGATTTATCCTTCCCCTGCGATTCTTATGAAGCACAAGCCTGAGCAATTCGTTTGCATGAAGATATATGAGCACAGCCTCAGGGAGAGGGATCTGTTAGTTAATTCCTACTCCCTGGAAGGACAAAGAATATTAGTAACTTATGAACGGAACACTTCGAAGCCCTCTGCATTTTCAAATTAGTCCTTTTCCTACTGACTAGAGATGGCTCCAAGCCAAAAAGTCCAGCTCCTGATTTGGGTGCACATGCTGCTAACCTGGAGTTCTGTGGTGCAAATGTGGGGCCATTATAAAGCTTACATTACATAACACATCTAATAAAAGACAGATCTAAACACCAAAGTTTGGGGGTGTTCAATTCCAAATCTATCTCCCCAGTAGATAACCCTCCCGCCCCATTCCTGTAAGTCATCCTTACATGTCTTTAAACAATAAAATTTCTAAAGCTGTCTTTACAAAGACTTAAATGGAAGCTGAGATTTTTTTGTTTACATTTCTAAATTCCCCCAGATCATGGTGTTGGGTTTTGAGGGGCCAAAGCCTTGCTCTGAAGTTCCTCTAGTTGCTTCTCTAAAGCATTTTAATTCCTCCTACATCACAATGCACAAATGGCAAGTGCCTCAGCCAGGGGCACCAGAACAGCGAGGGTGAGGGGGCCATGGCCCCATCACTTTTAAAAGTAGGAGGTCTATGCCTTCCCATTTTGACCTGCCTTAAGGGTGAGCAATGGGAGGGAAGGGGTGGAGAGGAGCAGGCAGTGGGTGGGGCCTCAGGGGGAAGAGGCAGAACAGGGGGGTGGGGCCAAGGTTTGGGTGCTGGTGCCCCCACCCCACTTCTAGGGAGTTTCCAGAGCTCCTGGCCTCAGCTAATATCTCTGATTCCACAAACATTCGTCTAACACACAAGTCAACATTTCCTTCTAGTGTTTACTTCTTTGTTATGAGCATCCTAAGTGATATGAGCCCTATCTTGAGGACAGGGCTACCTACCTGTACTCCTTCTCCTGGCTGTTGGTCTACATCAGTGGTTTTCAGCTTTTTCTCATTTGCAGACCCCCTAAAAATCTTCAAATGGGGGTGTGGACCCCTTTGGAAATCTCAGTCTGCTGGCCCCCAGGTGTCCACGGACCACAGGTTGAAAACCACTGGTCTATGTCAACAGCAGAGCTGTACAGTTCATGATGGTTGGCCGAGGTACAGGAATCTACTGGCTGACATTAGAGCCAGTCCTACTAGTTCTGTTTCTCATATAGCCTGATATATGTTATCGCACCTGGCTCCCTCCTGCCTGTGTGTCCAGGGAGTAATGCACTCAGAGTGGCTCTTGCGTTTATTTTTTAAATAATTTCAATGGCAGAGTGTTGAATTTTTTAAAAAAGAAACTCATTGGTTCAGAAAAATATTTGGGAAATAAAATTTGGTAACTCAGTGTGTGAACTCGACCGTAAGCAAAAAGGGGGAAAACAACCCTTAAGGACAATGCAACACAAAAATGTACTTCATTCTTTATATGATAAGTGTAGTTTAATATCGACTGAGGCTAATACTTCATAGCAGACTAGGAAAATGTCACATAGATTGTAAACTCTTTGTACTCAGGGGCTGTCTTTTTGTTCCATGATGGATTTTTTGCCCAGAATGGCAGCTTCTGTGATACAAATAATACATATGTTTTGTAAAAGTAATGGGGTCTTAGTAAGATGTGACCTCACTACAGCTCTACCTCAATCTTTGGTCTCATTTGGCTGTGCAGAATTCTCATAGGCATTTCTAAGGCATTGCACAATTACTCCCATAACTGTTTGTTTTACTTCACACACAGGAGATGGAGAATTATCATGGGAACATTCTGATGGGGATATCTTCCGGCAACCTGCCAACAGAGAAGCTGTAAGTGTGCCCTGTGTAATCAGAAAACCTGTTTTCCTGCCGAGCCATTCACACACACACACACACACACACACACACGTAAAAGGGATGATTACTCTAACTCTTCACCAGTTCTGCCTTGGCATGGGAATACCTGGCAGAAAAATTCATAGTAGTGACAATACCTTTTTCCATTGTATCTTCCTCTGTTTCCCTTTAGCTCTTTGTACCCAGCTGAAAATCTGATGATCTTGATGAAATGACAGAGAAAAATTCTCTTGTGATAGATTGGAGCCCCCTCTCCCGGCCCCCTAGACAGAAACTTACACAGGATGCTCTGAAACCAATATAGTGCGCTTCATATGTCAGCTCTCATGAGCTAAAAGGTGCTGCTAGGGAGCTGAGGGCACTACAGAGTGAGCAATTAGGGCTCATGAGGGCAGAATGGGCATCTCTTACAAAAAGGATACTTTGTTTTCCATTTCCTAGGTAGTGATTTGTCACGCCTGCTCTTTCCATAATCCCTCTTTCCCACTTTGCTATCCCTTCTCCTCCTCATTCACTATAATATTCTACTTTTCCTTCTAGAATCATTTGTGGTTCATGGACTGTTGAGATGGCAGCCCGTGATCAGCTGATGTCTAACATCTCCCACAATGATTGTTAGAAAAAAATCCAGTGTCCTTTGTTAAAAAAAAAAAAAAAAAGCTAGCACCAGAGGAAGGGGGAACGTTGTTTATTTTCTGTGGTTCACAGTGTATTTTGTTGCCAGACAAAAATTCTATATCCATTTCTGTGGCCCCTGACTCAGCAACAGCCAGGGACCCTGCCTGTAGAGCAGTACGAATGTTGGAAAATTCATCATTGCTAATACCAAGTAAATACTTAGCAATATATAGGTCGTATGTCATATGCTGTAGCTGTTTGGATACTATGATATCTGCCAGTATTCAATAGTTACAACAGCAGGACAAAATGCCACATTATAAGAAGAAAGACCCATTCACTGGGTCTGACTCTTCATTGCTCTGCACCTTGTTTAGCCAAGTACCTTGCACTGCTCCAGAATGAGCGCAGACTACCACCCAACTAGAACAGTAGCATATTGCAGCCACCTTGTAAATAACCACAGCAGGTGCAGGGCAAAGGAGACTGTAGCCCTGTGAGCGCATCGCCACTAGGACGCACATGTGACTGACCCAGGTGGTCTCTGGATCTTGTTACGGAGATTTTACTTATTCTCTTGCACTTTACTGAGCAAACATGTGCAGCGAAGGCCTGATCCAAAGCTAATGGAAAGATCCCCCATTGACTCCTGCAGACTTTGGATCAGATACTTGTGTATACCATACCTGAATAAATGGTTTGTCTGCCACGTGAGCATTGCTTTTCAATAGTAGTAACACTTATTCTCCAGGTATCGTGCCTGAGGTGTACGAATTCACTCCAGAGGCTAGATCAATCTATGGTGCAGCTTTATTGCCTCTAGGGTGTAGATTAACCATCAATAATAGTGTTGATTTTTATAACAAAATTTGGAGAGAGCACATGGAATTTTTAAAGCATTTGGAGCACAAAATAAATACATGCCCGTGGTCTATGGTAAGTCTTAGGGTTGCTCAAAATAAAATAGTAATCTTACAAGGAAGTTAAACACTCTTCAGTCCTGCCTTTGGGTATTTTTGGAAAAAATCCCCCAAAATAACCGTGGTGCTTTGTTTTGAAAAACAGAGAGTCACCGCATAGGCTATTTTCACCTACAGATCTCTCAAGGTTTCCCAGCTGATGGACTTAGAGCTAGATTCCAACAAGGTGCTGCTCACCCTGAGCAACAGTGGTTGACTCTGGCCTTATGAGTGTCTGTGACTCTGGCTCTACAGTGAAGTGAGAAGCAGGAGGGCAGGCAGCATCTGATCATTACACATATTGCACGATACTTGGTCCATAGTCAGGGATGCTGTAAAAAGTAGTTTGGATGCAGAAGGTTATAATGCCTGGGGTCAAATACCTCCAGTTTAACCCAGGTTAATCTCAAGCACCTGCATGAGTCTCTTTCCAGCAAGGAAGAAGCGAATCTTGAGATTTAGCACCTCACTGACATCAGTGGCAAAACTCACATTGACTGCACAGGGAGCCTTAATGCAGACAGTTTACACACAAAGTTCAGCTCTCCAATTGCTTCACCGAATGAAACATTTACATTCTTGTTCCTTCTGTCTCCACACAGAGGCATTCATACCATCGCTCCCATTACGACCTGTCCCCCAGCTCCACTAGACAGGTGGTCAACATTCCAAGATTTTCCAGTGGCAGGAGTAACCGTGGAGTCCTACCTGACCCCCAGCAAGCTTCAGGAACTATAGTACAGATCGTCATTAACAACAAGCATAAGCACGGACGAGGTAATGAGAAGTCCTTTTAGCAATACTACTCGGAGTCGGGTCTCAGCCATTTATAGCTCTCAAAGAATTCTTATAAAGAACAGGAGTACTTGTGGCACCTTAGAGACTAACACATTTATTTGAGCATAAGCTTTCGTGGGCTACACCCGCTTCTTCAGATGCATAGAATGGAACATATATTGAATTCTTAGTACATAAAGGGGGAGACCCTTTGCAAATGACTGAACCCTGCAAGTCAGAAAGTAAAAGTACAGTAAGAGAGCAAAGATATAACATCAGGAGAGTTATCTTGGCTGAGGGCAATTGTGTCTGAGCACATAGAGGATGCTGCACTTGCCCATGCATAGGCAACGCATAGGCACTACCACATTGCTTGCTAAAGCACTTCGAGAATCTGTATTACATGAAACTATATAAAGACCACATTATTCTGTTGGGACTAGGAAGGCGAGCAGCTGACACCACTGTTGATGCCTTTGGATCTGCCACTAAATTCACACACCGATTGGTCTAGCATCCAGAGAATGGAAAAGTCTGCTTTTGGTTATTTTCCTCATGCTTTCTCCTATTTAGTAACCCGTGTGAATGCAAGTGGCACATGTTTAAGCTACCTCAGAAATCTCAGGCTACAAAGCCCTACTAGGTTACCACTAGGTTCGCTACTGCCAAGACTTACTGAGCCATCTCCTTGGTAGAAAATATCCCACTTATGAGCGAAGAGGAACTTCCCCCTTTACATCTGTGTTGAACAAAGCTGTTATCTAGTGTTCAGGCCAGCAGTTTCATCCCCCCCCCCTTAAACTTTTATTCTGTTTTTCAGAGATCAATACAATACTTCATATCAAAGATATATGTAAAACAAAGCCCTGAGAGCCAGAGGCATTCCAGTAACATAACATAATGTCTTTAAGCCTCTGAGAGCCTTACAGGACTTATTACATTATGGGAACATTAGGACCTCAAGCTCATATGGAAAACCTTTATAGAAGCATGACTAAGCCATGTTCCTCAAGGATTATACTAAAAAAAGAGGGGTGGGGAGAATAAACCAAATCCCCAATTTAAAAGGGGTAGCAGATTTTATGTCCTGGCAAAAGGGCATGATGCTGCAAGGTGCTGAGTGCACTCAATTCCTATACATTTCAACAGAGCTACTTGTGTAGCAGGTAAGTATTATTTAAGTGAATAATGGTCTGCAGGATCAGGCCCAAATAGTAATAGAAGAATTAGCTATAGAAAAGCAACTATACACAAAACTCGGAGTAGCGTCAGGAATGTCCCACAAAGAGTTAAAAGCCTTTGTGTTATAGCCAACTAATCTTTGAAGGTATTAACTAACAGAAGGAATGTTCGCCATAGGATCTTTATTATCCACCTGAACAACCATGAAAACACATTCAGATCATGCCAGTGTTTTATGCTGGAACTAGGAACAGGAATCTCCACTCAGTGCAATATCTCTGACATCCAGTTCACACATGAAGACATCATCAAAGCAATTTCTAACTGATTTGTTTCAGCAAATAAAAAGCAGACAAATGAACAGCACATTTCTCTGCGCCGTTTAGTATCAGTGATAGCTTTAGGAGCTTGCTGCCCAGAGAGAGTCTAAGAGGTCTCTGTAATGGAAATTAGAATGGTGACCATGTCCTTTCTTTTGTTCTCTACAATGAGAATGTTATTAATTAATGCACATGCTTCCAGAGATACATTTTATAAATCTAAAAATAAACAAAATAGTTATACTGACATGCAGATTTGATGCCATTACATGGATACAGAATTACATTTCTATGCAGACAGTGGTTAAAGCAGGCCATTTGGGAGCTAGGGTTCTATTTTCACAGTGACTGCAGACTTCTGTCACTTTGGACTAATTAATTATTTAACCTTTCTGTGCCTCCATTTATCCATCTGCAAAATTGGGATAATGTATCTATAGTCAACATATCCCTGACTACAGTACAGAGAAGTTGTGAGATTTAATTTATGTTTGTAAAGCTTTTGGAGCTCTCTGGCAGGAAAAAAAAAAAAGATATAAAATAAGTATAAATATACTACTAAAGCATGTAAGAAGGTTAATTATAACAATAGAGTAATTAATCCCGTTTTATGTAAATGTTCCCTTTTTTCCCCTCATCATTCTGTTTTGTATACAGAGAACACTTCATTTGCTTTTATGAGAGAAAAACTGTTTCCCCTTCTAAAATGAAAACAGCTCTTAAGAAAGAGTTTAAAAAGTAATAAATTATTAAACCAAATGATGGTATAACACCCATGAAAGACAATACATTATGAAGAACACCCATCATAAATCTTGGTAACTTAGTAACACATAAGCCAGTTGCTCACATCTGTTACCAGTTAGATGTAAATTTAAGATTACAGATAAAAATTAAATTGCTTTTGAAAGTTACAGGCAAAAGAGGAACATATTTTACAAATAAAAGCATTAATAAAAATGATGGCATATTGGAAGAATTGGAAATATTTACAGCATATCCAAGCTTGATTTTAATTGCTTTTTGAAATCAAACAGTGCCCTCTCTTTCACCTTTTTTGGTTAGTATGCATTTTTCAGTGTGTTTATGAAATGTTTAAAGAAGCAAGGTTCATAGGGCAAATTCAGTCTTGGTGTAAACTGGCGCTACTCCCATTAACTTCAGTGCGAACCGAGTCTGCTTTTGCCAGCTGTTAATTTGTGCAGTGTCCTTTTGCCTGCTGTACTTCCCTACCTTGCAGGGGTGTAGTGAGGATAGATCCATTAAAGATGGAGGCATTCAGATATTGGTGTAATGGGTGTCCTTAGATACATTTCAATATCATCTGCAGCCTTTCAATTTAAAGCCTCCTTTTGTTTTTTGAAATTACAAATACCAAGTCTACAAACACCCAAAGTATATTTGGGAAAAAATATGGAAGTGATCAAATTCCATCTTCTAATCATCTCCTCCTTTGCTCTGTCTGTGTCATCTAGTGGAGGGTCCCTTTGGAAAGTAGCAAAGTGTCTGGGTGGCAACAACTCACCCAGCTGCTAGCTTGAATAAACAGTGTTCACCCACTGACAGGAGAAGCTGTGCAGGAGGTTCAGTAGGAAATGCCGTGATGCTGGGAACTAGAGTATTGTTCTGGCTGCAGGCTGAAATTCTGGGGCAGGAGCCAGTTCGTAGGGGTGGGGTGTGCATGAGGAGCTAAGATCATAAAAGCCAACTGGTGGGAGTAAATGGTCCCCAACAAAAATGGGCACACACTGGAGGAGAGTGGTCAAATTCTGCACTCCATCTCACTCGCTGAAATACCAGGGCACCCTCACGGATAAGTGAGGCCAGAATTTAGACCAAATTGCACAGAAAAAGGTGATCAAAGGCTCAATCCTGTTCCCTTTGAAGTAAATGACAAAACTTATCAATGGGAGAAGGGCTGGACCAGAAATCACTAGTGAAAAATACACTTCCAAGCAGAGGTGCGTCCTTTAGTCATGAATGAAACATTGCCTCAAACCAGTGTGCATGCACTAAGGCAGAGGTTGTAGTCCAACTATAGATCTGTTGGGGCCTTACCATACAATGAATATTCATTTTCTTCCTCTCTCCTTTTCTGTTATAGTCTGTGTTTCAAATGGAAAAACATACTCGCATGGTGAATCGTGGCATCCTAATCTCCGGGCCTTCGGAATCGTAGAGTGTGTGTTGTGTACCTGCAACATCACCAAACAAGAATGTAAGAAAATTCATTGTCCGGATCAATATCCCTGCAAATCCCCTCAGAAAATAGAAGGAAAATGCTGTAAAGTCTGTCCAGGTAAAACGAAGAATAGATCACAGACTGCCTTTTTTGCTATGGATTTTAAGGGGTCTTTTGATCATAATGATACCTGATGAAATGAGCAACTTTATATCTGTTGCTATATTTTGTCTAGAGGGAAATCTGGGCACGATAATAGATCTAGCACCCAATCTTGCAAGCCATCTCATTCATTTCATTTCCACAGGTAGAGGGCACCGAGGACTGGGCCAACCTTACGGTCTCTTTTTCTTCTCTCTAGCATTCGTGTGACTTTTGGACATCTATTTCAGAAGAGTGTATCCCCCCTCCCCACCAACTAGAGATTCATTATCTCCCCGACAATAATTCAAGGAGCATCTCTCATTCTCCCATCCCTTCCCATTTGCAATCCTCACAGAGCTTTCCATTTGTTTTCTAGCTTAGGATATTTACACTACTGTACTAAAATAAAGCTTTTGTTTTGCAAAACATAGCAGTAGTTTTAAAAGTTTTGGTCATAACATTATTTGTGCTAATAATGGAACTGGATCCTTAGAATAAGCACTAATGCTATGACAGCTTATCATAGCATTGTGGGGAAAATCTAGTCACTTGATTAGCTTGTTGTAGGATATTAGTAAAAATGTGTAAAGAAAAACAAACTACACCTCTACCCTGATATAACGCGACCCGATATAACACAAATTTGGATATAATGTGGTAAAGCAGCGCTCCGGGGGGGCGGGGCTGCGCACTCTGGTGGATCAAAGGAAGTTCGATATAATGCGGTTTCACCTATAACGCGGTAAAAAATTTTGGCTCCCGAGGACAGCGTTATATTGGGGTAGAGGTATACTTAGAAATTTGCTAACCCCTCTTATGATATTTTGCCAGGTGCCTAACTCCCATCTAAAAAACGAGGAGTCCTTGTGGTACCTTAGAAACTAACAAATGTATTTGGGCATAAGCTAGAACCCACTTCCATCAGATGCATGGAGTGGAAAATACAGGAGCAGGTATAAATACATGAAAAGCTGTGATTTGCCTTACCAAGTGTGAGGTCAGTCTAATGAGACAATTCAAATGACAGCAGGATACCAAGGGAGGAAAAATAACTTTTGAAGTGGTAATGAGAGTGGCCCATTTCAAGGACTCCTCGTTGTTTTTGCTGATACAGACTAACACGGCTACCACTCTGAAACTTAACTCCCATCTGTACCTTTAAAATGTTCCCACAACACGTTTAGCCCCTTTTTGTGTTTAGTTCTGTGATGCACTGGCAGAAACGTTCTGAGAAAACGAGGGTCAGAGCCACAGGCATACGTCACTTACAAAGCACCTGCTAGCAATGTGTTATTAGAAGGGAGCCTGGTTCAGTGCACTAGGAGACAGGAGAGCTAGGTTCAAGTCCCAGCTGTGTCCCTGACTCCTGTGATGTAAGGAGACTCAATTAACTGCCCTGTGTCTCAATTGTCTTTGATGATACTTTACTTCACAGGGGGGTTGTGAGGCTTACTTCAATTAATAAGTAAAGAAGCGAGAGCCTGACATTTAGACGTGCTGAGCATCCACAACTCCTCTTGAAGTCAATGGAAGACGAGGGCACTCAGAAAAATCTAGCTAGGAACCTGGGATGGAAATGCTCTAGAAGTAAAGAATGTTATCTAGATTTCAGATCAGTCTCTAACTCCTGAAGTTCACCCACAGCTATCAAAAAAAAAAAAAAGCAGGATCTTTTCTCGAAGTCTGACTTGTGTGTTAAGATAAAACATACTAAATAAAAATCCAAATTGTTTTATTGTTACCAGGTCTGAGCATTAAAAAGGGAGAGCAAAAACAGAATTTCACTAAGTAGTCTGGACTCCGCTGGAGAAGGCCTTGAAAGACCTCTTCAGAGGACCTCTCTACAATTAAGCTAAACTTGTTGGGCAGCACGAATCTAGTAAGTTCCAAGGAACATTAAAGCTGTATCATGTTTTGCTTACAGAAGAGATGCCAAGTCAGAGCTTTGACAGCAAAGATTACTTTTGTGGTGAAGAGATGCTTCCTGTCTATGAATCTGTTTTCACGGAGGAAGGAGAAACCATTAGAAAAATCGCAGTGGAAACAGAAAAGCCACCTCAAATAGAAATACACGTGTGGACCATTAGGAAAGGTAAGTAGATCAAGTTCTCTTAAAAATAGTGCTTTTTTCTTTTTATAGCCTCAGGAAAGATTTACAGATTCTTGCCACTCAGGACTTTATAGCTGTTCCAATTCTTTACATTGGGGCATTTGGCACTTCCCTGGTAGTAGAGATAGAACTCCAGTCCTCCTACAACAAAAGCACAAATTGCTAATGCTTGTGCCAAACTCCCTTGTTGTTAGCAGTATGGGGTCTATCATATGCACTTGAGCAGTTCTGATTTTGACCAATAGAGGGAAGTAGCACACACTAGCCAGTTCGATGTCACCATCCTATTGGCGGTGGGGTGGGAGGGAGACTGTGGTGCATCAAGGGAGATGTAGGCCAACCAGTGAGCCTGGCCTATTGAGGGGAACAGGAGCACACAGCTCCCAAATTACAGCTCCCATGAAGCACTATAGCCACAGGTGCTGGAGGTGCTGGGGGTGCTGCCGCACCCCCTGGCTTGAAGTGGTCTCCATTACAGATGTCCCCCAGGTTACGCAAACGTGACTTATGCAAATCCGCACTTATGGAAAAAGTTCCATACGCTAGAAATAGGAGTTGTATTTTTTTTTTTTTTGGTGTAATGGTTGGGTATACGTTTCCAACTTATGCAAAATTCGAGTTACGCAAGGCATTCCAGAACAGAACGCTTGCGTAAGTCGGGGAGTGTCTGTATATACAGGGTTTACAGTTTGGTTCAATGGCTCTCAGCACCCCCACGATACAAATTGTTCCAGCACCCCTGACCATAGCAGTGCTGCAGAATCAAAATTCTTCAGGTTTTGACCAAAATATTTTGGATTTTGATTTTTCACAGAAAACTTGCTTTCTGTGGAAGGGAAAAGAATTTATGTTATGACCAGCATAGTCTTAACCCTGAGCACAGACTTCCAACCCTTTCAGGCCAGTCCCTTCAATTGTCCAAACTCCTGAATATCTGAAGGGTTTAGATGTTTCTACCAGTTCAGATAATCAGTGTTGTATGTACTGCAAATGAATAAAGCCTGAGCTTTTACTTTAGTTAATTGACTGGTCTCCTCGGTTTTACAGATCTAGAAGCTAGATCTCAAACAAATGCCAAACTTCCCTACAGTTCATGGACTCTACGTTGAATCTGAACTTGTGTAATATTGCTATGTACTATAAGAGAGTATGTGTTTCACTATGTATCCTAAGAAAGTGTATTATCTCTGAGGATGCTACATTTCAAAGTGGGCAAAGTGATTCCTTACTGAAAGAAAAAACCCTTAAGGAATCTTTGGGAAGAGTGGAGTTACATAATGTATTTTTAATTCAACTGAAATAATATACAAGTGGGGACCCAAAAAGGGAAATGCCAAAAGTGTGGGTGTAAATAGATCCGTTATTCAGTATATAAAGAGAGGCAATGTTATTTTTCTCTTCATCTCCTACAACCAACTCTCTCTTTCCCTTAAGAATTATGTTGGCTATCTTCTCAAAGGCCCTTTACATGAAGGCATTTACTAAGTGATGACACTGTCTCAGAATGCCTTAGTCCAAATGCTAAATATTAAAGTAGCTTTACTTTCACTTGTTTGTAGTCTCTCTTTATCTGGGAATGTCGTCACACAGTCAGAGCAAGCAAATAGGCAGACACAGGAGTCAAGGCTACTGGGTTCTAGTCCTGACTCAGCCACTGACTCACACAGCGTGACCTCTGGCAAATCATTCAATCTTGTACTTCACTTTAACAGATCTGTAAAGTTAGGATATAGATTTACTTAGTTTACTGGGGCAATGCTAGGCTTGTTTACAGATTGCTTTGAGACCATCAGTGTCAACTTAGTGGTTTTAGTCTCTACCTTTTAAAAAAAAAAAAAGCTTCATAAGTTGAGATCATATTAAAGGGCAAACTACACTTAAAGTTACACAGATCATGATCCATGAACAGCCCTCTGAAGGGCTGCTGGTTAATACGGGGTCCTACTGACCTATGCTCGCAGTAGGGCACAAACCCTCCTGGTGGTTTGGCAGGAGCATTTTCTGCTGGCTGCCTGCAGTTAGGCAAAAGACAATTGTCCAATGTCAGCATGACAAACTGCTTTTCTCCAAGGCACTGGGATTTTGGCCTCTGCTCTGGTCCTCTCTCATTCATGCCAGGGAAGGCTGAAGCTACGTGGGCAAAGGAGGAACTACCTCTCAGATCTTGGTAATACTCTCTACCATCATAAAACCACAAAAGAAAAATATTGATGGAGCACATGGAATCGGTTAAAACATTATTGGTAAAGACAATTTCACAATGTGGCTCAACATGCTAGTAATTCTTCACACAATCACAACATCACAACAAGCTCAGAGCAGAGGAGCTTGTTTCAACTACATGCTCTTACTGCTTTGCTACAGGGATTCTACGTCACTTCCACACTGAGACGATATCCAAAAGCGAATTTGAAGAACTTCCCTACTTCAAGCAGATAACAAGGACAACACTGAGTGAGTCAAAGTCTTGTCTTCTTAGGCTCCACTTTTCTATATAACCTCAGCCTTGAAACATGTCCTGCATTACTCCTCCAACTGAAATAAATGTGCTACTTTCCCACCAACATCTGGAATCAATAGTTTATGAGTATCAAATAAAATAATCAGAATGCAACATATGATTAGAGGGTTACTTTCACATAAATCATATTTAAAAGATGCCTTTCCAAAGTCCCTAGTAACACCTTGGATTATTAAAAACTGACTGTTTAAAAAACCCAAATTCATTTTTCACCACTAGTACAATTTATATTTTACCCGGCTTGGGCTACAGAACTTGGCCTCCCAATATCACTTGTTTATGGTCAGTTTTATTCTCCAGTTCTTCTGCACTAGCAAGTTGCTGTTATGCTTGGACTTCCACTATTGCAGGGCAACAGCAGCTGTTGAAAGAATTACTCTTGAGAGTATGCTGCAATTACAAGCCAGGGCCTTCCCAGCTACAAACAAAAGCGCTCCCCCGTCCCCCCATCAGAATCTGACCCTTCATATTCTTTTAATGTAGTTCTTTTGCGTGGAATGTATTAAGTGATTGAGATATTTTCAAACCTTCCAAAGGAAAATATTTTAATTCTTCCTATCAACAATTTGAATGCGTTTGTCTGGCTAGTGCTTGTAAGTGACTCTAAAGCTCTCTGCATTCTGTCTAAGTCAGTGTCTCTCTGCTTTGTGTTTTTGTTTTCAGGCCAGTGGAAAATATTTAGCGAGGGAGAAGCTCAGATCAGCCAAATGTGTGAAAGCAGAGCGTGCAGGACTGAGCTGGAGGATTTGGTAAAGGTTTTGTACCTTGAAAAGTCTGAAAAGGGTCACTGTTAAGGGAGACAGCACTGGAGGGAGAAAACAAGAAAACTTATGAAAACGTGGATCTGCAGCTGGACTGCAGGCTTATTTTGCTTAAGTCAACAGTTGCCCTAAAAACCAAAACTATAATGCAGTAATTATTCACATCATGCACAGCAAACTTGCTGCTTTATGTGTAGTGGTTTGTGTCAACCATTTAAATATCTCCTAGGAGGCTCTGTATTGGGGGGGGGGGGGGGAAAGGGAGACTGTAGTTCCTTGTAAAGTTGCAAAGTTAAAAAAGAAAACAGAATTAAAAAAAAAAAATACTTGGCATGTTATTCAAACTAATGAAATGAAGGACACCTAATAACTGTGCAGGAGCTATGGAGAGCATTATTTCCTGTGCTGAGTTTATACCACTTCTGGTGTTGAAATGACTCATGTTTTTCTAAGGGGGGTGGGGGGAGAATACAAGCGATACAGTACTTGTGTTTGAGCCATAAAATCCAGATTTAAATGAAAACTCCCAACGAGTCTACTGCTTTGGGGATGATGTCTTGCAGTTGAACAAACTCTGAATAAATAAACAAACCAGAAGGTGTTAGTGGGAATTACTGCATTTATGTAGCAATTTGAGAAAACGTTCAACTTTTAAGTGGTTTTCACTTGGTTTCCATTATCCACTTCTCTACATGAAATATCAGCTCCCTCATACTGCCCCAATACTGCATTCTCGTGGGCCCTGTTAACACATAGCCTCGGTCAATAAACTCACTTTACAAAGTAACATAGCAGGAGAATGCAAAATACTTGAATCGTTTATGAAAATTCCTATAGGGTTAAACCCACAGTGATTAATAACTCATTAAATGTCTTGTGATATCACTTAATTTATTAATGGTAATTGTCGCAATAAGAGTGTTCTGCGTGGTTCTAATTGGTGGCCTCTCAAGTCCCAGCAAACTAATAAGCATAACTTCAAGGACAACTTTCTCCAATGGCAAACTAATGAGCACTTATATCAAGCCACTAAGTTAGTGCAGCACCAGCAAGACCATTATCTTTATGCAAAAAGAAATCTAAGGCACTCAGTTTGATTTGCAGTTCACAGGTGTCTGTCCAGTGTCTGCCTTCAGAAAAGAGTTCTGTTCTGATATACAAGGCCATTACTTTGAAAACATGGCTTTCTCTGAGGAAATCCTGCCACACGAGCTCATGGACACCATCTTAGATTCACTCCTGAGGTGCAAGTTGACTGTGGCTGCTTTCCCTCCATTTTCTATTTCAGAAGCATACGGGAACATTTCCTATTGTGTCTGAACAGCAATGAAGTTCTAAAAAAAGTGGCCTCAGGCCAGGCACTTGGTCCTCAAAGGGAGTGAAATAAATGGCGGTGGCCAGAATTTGGACGTCCCCATGGGACTTTGCAAAACTTGTGCTCTCTGCTTTGCCCTGCATTTCCAGTGATGGCACTCTAAGTCTTCATCAGGGGTATGTGCATCTTAACAAAGAGGTTAAGGGGTCTGGATGTTCAGTGCTTAATGCCAGTGGCCCAACTCAGGGTCCAGTAGAAGAAATATTAAACCTGTTAGTAGGGCCTTGTTCACAATAGTGATCTCTTTGCACCTCTCCCTGCTAGCAGCTGTGGTTGTAAGAGGCAACCCCCTTTCACTGCTTTCAGTGGCGCAGGATCCATCCCTGCCAGGGTTTCTTGCAATAGCCAGCAGGAGTATATGGAAAGGGTAATCGACTAAGAGCAAGGAGAGAATGAGAGTGGAGAGATGGGAATGTGATAGGGAAGAAGAGGGAGACTAAGTGAGGATAAGGGTGAGAAGAAGACCCAGGATTTCCTACACAGAAAATCTTCATGGTTCTGCCTGCAGAGAGCAAGCTATCCGCCATGCCAGGATAGAGAACAGATTTTTTAGTGCACTTCCTTCTCTGACAGTGCCCAAAGTGGCCTAAAATACATAACAGGATAGTGTGCCAGAAGGGAGCTCCTTCAGCAGCCAGTTTGATTGGTAAGAACAAGAGAATCCTTGTGATGGCAGTAAAATCATTTAGAAACCCGACAAGGCACTGACACCAAAATATAAATACACGGTCCTATAGATGACGCGAGGGCAGTTCTCATAAGAGAGTAAGTTAACTCCAGTGTCCATGCCAAATCCAGCAATGAGACTTCGCCTCTCTAAATTCTCTTTTGTGTTTAAAATGGGTGTCGTATTCACCTCCTGTCCAAAATTGTGGTGTAGTGTGCCTGTGCACTGTTAAACAGCTGTGTGTTCCACACCAGAAGTGGGTGCCATGCAGTGTAGTTGTGGGAGCAGCCATTTGTAACACACTTTGGGATCCTTTGGGTTGGAAGGCACTCCAGAAATGTAAAATTTATTATAAATCCACTAATAATACCATGTATTAACATGAACATACCTCTGATGAAGACATAGTGGAAGGCATCCTGAGGCATCATAGTATCCTGGTAGGCTGACAAACACATGGTTATGTTTGGCTCACCTCTTGGTACAGTATGTTTGTAGCAGTAGCTGATTGAACAAAGATTATGTGAAAAGTGTACAGTGTATTGTTTTTTTGGAAGACAAACAGTCTTGTGTTTGTGACAGAACAAGTGGGGTTCAAATTGTGTATTTATTTGTATAATAAACACTTATGAAAAACAAAAATATAAGCACCATTTAGTAAATGAAGTTCTGCATTTTTACAGTCTCTGGTCACTTAAGACAATAAAATACACAATATCATGTTTTTCACTGTCTTCACAGGACATATGCCTGATGTGGTACTTATTTATGTACTTGCTCTATCACTTTGACCTGGTTTTATAAATTAATAAACTCTGCAGTTGTTCAAAACAAGAAGTTCTCAGTGATGTGATATGTGAATTAAAGAAATAAATGTTAGACCTATTTGCAATTCTGCTGCTATTATCCCTTTAAACCAAATCAGCAGGCTTGGACAACAGAGAAAACCCTGATCTGCAACCTAGCTCATGGGAGTGTGTCTTCAGCCACAAGAGCTGCGAGTACACTTTGCCAGTGAAAGTAAGTTAAGTTCTGATTCAAAAACTGTGTCAACAGCAAGATATGAATCAGGGTCTAAAGCCCTGCCTTATTTTATTCATCTAGCCCATAACCATATGCTTCGGTGTAAGCATGTGCTTATTTAAGCCCCCTGAATTTGATGGGACTTAAGCATGTGCTTAAGTCAGTGGTGAGCAACCTGTGGCCCGCACACAGCCCGTCAGGGTAATCCACTGGTGGGCCACAAGACAGTTTGTTTACATTGACCGTCTGCAGGCACGGCCGCCCGCAGCTCCCAGTGGCTGCGATTCACTGTTCCTGGCCAATGGGAGCTGCGGGAAGTGGTACGGACCCCAGGGACGTGCTGGCCGCTGCTTCCTGCAGCTCCCATTGGCCAGGAATGGCTGCTCAGCCACTGGGAGCTGCGGGCAGCTGTGCCTGTGGATGGTCAATGTAAACTGTCTTGTGGCCCACCAGTGGATTACCCTGATGGGCTGCATAAGGGCTTTGATGAATCAGGGCCTTAGGGAGATGCTGGGGTTTAGAGACCTTAGTCCACCCATATATGAGTGAGATCAGAATGTGCAAAGCATGCACACGAGACTCCCAGCGAAATCAGCAGGAGCCCTGTATGTTCCTCTCAGGGCACCATTTAGCCCTAGTTTGTCAGCACTGGTAGAATGTTGCTGTCCTTTTAGTTCTTAAGGGGCCAGTCCCACTCCCATTTAAGTCAATGGAAAACCTCTTTCAAGCAGGGGTGGCACGTTTGTATAATTTTTGGTGGTGCCCAAAACAGGTGCAAGTCCTGCCCCCTCCCACACCTGCCTTGTAAGCCATATATATATTTTTAAAATATAAAAATGTGAGGGCACTGGAGTGGGGCTGGTGTTGAGGGGTTTGGGAGGGGCTCAGGGGTGAGAGTTGTTGGGTGGGATCGGGGATGAGGGGCTCATGATACAGGAGGGGGCACAGGGCTGGGGCAGAGGATTGGGGTGCAGTGGGTGTGGGCTCTGGGGTAGGGTGAGGCTGGAGATGAGGAGTTTGGGGTGCAAGCAGGCTGCCCTGGGGCTGGGGCCAGAGACGAGGACTCCCCCAGCCCTCTCCCCGCTGGCAGCAGCAAGCTCTGTGGCAGCAGCAAGCTCTGGGGGGGGTCCCCCCCTCCCCCGGCAGCACTCACCTCACACCACTGTCACTGCACGTGCTCTTAGGGCCCCTCTCAGGACCAGGAAGCCCCCTCACCTCCCCCATGGTGGGTGCTGGGGGGGAGGGGGAACACCGCCTCCTCCCCTGTTGCTGCCCCTCACTGTAGCCCCACTGGGGGTGGGGCTGCCCCTTGCCCAGCATGTGGCAGAAGCAGGGACTGCGGGTGGGGGGAGGCCCCTGTGCTGGTGGAGGGTACTGCCAGAAAAGGGAAGGGGAAGGGTCAGGGTCAGCCTGCCTTGGCACTACTCGACAGAGGGGGGCACTAGGACCCTGTGGCGGCAGTTGATGCTGGGAGCCAACGGAGCGGAGCTGCAGGGAGGCTTGAGGCAGGGATGCTCTGGAGCAGACGTGTGGGGGCAGCAAGTGGGGGGCTGGGGGATATTTAGGGGCAGCAGGTGGGACCAGGGTAGGGTTACCATATTTGAACTTTCAAAAAAGAGGACACTCCGGAGGGGGGTGGGGGGTGTAGCCCCGCCCCCTAGCCACTCCCTCCCAATTCCCGCCCCCCTGACTGCCCCCC